GCTTCCAGTTTTTTTCCATTTAGAATGTTGGCTGTGGGTCTGTTGTCTACACCTTTAATTATGTTGAGGTATGTTCCCTACAGTCCAATTCCCTTTAGAAGTTTTATCATGAATGCATGCTGAATTTTGCTGAAAGCCTTTTTTTGCACCTATTGAGATGAAGGTGTACTTTTTGTCTTTGAATTCATTCATATGATTGATGACTTTTATTGACTTACATATATTGAACCATCCCTGCAAATCTCTGAAACAAATCCTACTTGATCATGGTGAATGATCTTCTTGATGTACATCTTTATGTGATTTTCAATATTTCCAAGTATTTTGTTGAGAATTTTTGCATCTATGTGGGTCTGTATTTTTGTGTTTTTTTTTTTTTTTTTTTTTTCATTGTGTCTTTACCTGGTTTTGGTATTAGAGTGATGCTAGCTTCATAGAAGGAATTTGGGACTTCTCCCTCTGTTTCTATCATTTTGCATATTTTACGTAGTATTGGTTAGAGGTCGTCTTTAAATGTCTGGTAGAATTTCACTGTAAATCCATCTGGGCCTGGGCTTTTTTGGGAGGTTTTGTATTACTGTTTTGATTTCCTTACATGTTATGGGTTTTTATAAATTATTGATCTTGTCTTGGTTTAACTTAGTGGTTTCCATTGATTTTAGATATCCATTTCTTTTAGGTTTTCAAATTTAATAGAGTATAGGTTTTAAAGTATTCCTTATAATGTTTTGGATCTTTTGGGTATTTGTTGTGATGTTTCCCCTTTCATCTCTGATTCTGCTGATTTGGATTTGCTCTTTTTTTCTTTTGGTTAAGTGGGCTAAGGGTCTATCTTGTTTAGGTTTTCAAAGAACCAGCTCTTAGATTCATTGATTCTTTGTATTGTTTTCTTTGTTACCATTTCATTAATTTCTGGTTTGATTTGTGTTATTTCTTCCTTTCTGCTGGGTTTTGGTTTCATTTGTTCTTGCCTTTCCAGAGTCTTGAGTTGCAATGTTAAGTCATTTATCTGTGCCCTTTCTGAGTTTTTAATGTAGACACTTAGAGCTATAAACTTTCCTCTTATGACTGCTTTTCAAGTGTCCCAGAGGTTTTGTCCTGTTGTATTGTCATTTTCATTGAAGTTCAGAAATACTTTTTCTTTCTTAATTTCTCCTTTGACCCACTCATCATTCGGGAGTGTATTGCTTAATCTCCTTGAGTTTGTGTAATGACTAGGGCTTCTTCCAATGTTGACTGTAAGCTTTATCACACTGTGGTCTGATAGAATGCATGGAATTATTTCATTTTTTTTTCATATTTGTTGAGGTTTGTTTTGTGGCCCAGTATATGGTCAACTTTTGAGGAAGTTCTATGAGGTGCTGAATAGAAAATGTATTCTTTGGTGCTTGAATGGAAGATTTGGAAGACATCTGTTAGGTACATTTGATGTATGGTATCTTTTAATTCAGACATCTTTCTGTTTATTCTTTGTCCAGTTGTAACCCAGATGTTCTTCCAAGAAGCTGGAGTTGATCCAGAGCGAGCGTGGGTGATGTGGCGCACACTGGGAAAAAGGGGTGGGGGTACCACCATATTGAGCACGGCCGAACGGCAAGCTAAGGTGTGTGGGGGTGGGAGCAGCTGCATGTGAAAAGCTGGTGAAGACTGAGGGCGGGAGGTGGATGGCATGTGCATTTCAAATATGGAAAAGGAAAACCCTCTAAGAATCTGTGTCTTTGTAAGTTACCCTTTCTCAGGTGTCTTATAAACCATGCAATATCCAAATAGAATACCTTATGTCAGTTTGCCAATCCAAGTCAGGACCCCTAGACGCTGAATGAGGACGGGTCTCCCAGCTGGAAGGGGAAAATTCAGTGAAACACTTGTTGACTTGTCTAATGGAAACAGTGGGGTACTGAAGTTCCCTACTATTACTGAGTTGGGACTAATCTGTGTCTTAAAGTCTTCTAGTGTTGTTTTTATGAATTTTGGTGTATCAGAGTTTGGTGCATATATTTTCAGGGTTGTAATATCTTCTTGGTTAACTGATCAGAATGAAGTTGCCCTCTCTATCTCATCTGATTAGTTTTAGTTTGAAGTCTATTTTGTCAGATATTAGAATTGCAACCCCTGCTTGTTTCTTAGTTGCCATCTGCTTGAAATATTTTTTTCCACCCTTTCACCTTAAGGTAGTGCCTGTCCTCGAAGGTGAGATGGGTTTCTTGCAGACAACAAAAAGATGGATTTTGTTTCTTAAGCCATTCAACTACCCTGTTTCTTTGGACTGGGGAGTTCCATCCATTGATATTTAAAGTTATTACTGAAAGATGTGTATTGATTACAATTATTTTGATTACTGTTTGCATTCATTGTCTAATTTTGTGTTTCCACAACTATACCTTAATTTAGTTTCTTTCTGTTGCCCCTGGGGTATAGTTTTTTCTTTCTCTTTGTATTGCTTCAAGTATTCTTTGAAGGGTGGGTTTTGTGGACAAGTATTTTTTAGCCTATTCATGTTGTGGAAGATTTTTCTTTCCCCTTCAACTATAATAGACATATTTGCTGGGTAAAGTATTCTGGGTTGGCATCTATGGTTGTTCATAACTGGAAATACCTTGGTCAGGCTCTTCTGGCTTTCATAGTTTGCATTGATAAGTCAGATATAATTCTAATAGATTTTCCTATATACATGAGTTGTTTTTCTTCTGCAGCTTTCAGTATTCTCTCTTTGTTCTGTACACTTAGTGTTTTTACTATGATATGCTGAGTTTCTTTTCTGGTCCTGTCTATTTGCCATTTTGTGTGTATTTATATGGGGATGTCTTTCCTTAATTTTGGGAAGGTCTCTTCTACAATCCTGTTTAAGATCTGGTCAGTACCATCAACCTGAAATTCTTCTTCCTTTATATGCCTATGATATATAGATTTGGTCTTTTCAAGGTGTTCCACAGCTCCTGCATATTCCATTCCTGCGTTTTTAAAAATATTTCATCATCTTTGGTTGAGCAGTCCAATTCTTCAACTTTATCCTCCAGTGTTGCTATTCTGTTTTCCACTTCATTCATTTTAGCGGTGAGGCTTTTGCCTGTTGTTTCAAACTGGCTTATTAAGTTCTTTACTTCCTTCTTCATTTCAGCCTGAGTTTCCTTCAATGTTTCTATCTCTTTTGTGAATTCACTTAGAAGTTTATCCTTATCTTCTTTTAGTTCTTTGGTTTGTGAGTTCTTTAAATTTGTTGAATGTCTTGATCATGTTTATGACCATTCTTTTAAATGTCCTGGGTTATCTCTAGGGGGTTCTCCTTATAGAACTCTTCTACAGGACTGCTGGAGTTTGATGGGAACATGCTGTTTTGGCTTTTCCCTGTTGTTATTTTTTTCGTTGTGATTTTGGCATGTGGATTTCTCTTGTTCCTTGTGATTCTGGTATGAAACTCAAACCTTCCATGGTTGAGTTGAAGTCTGCTTCAGTTTGTATTACTGGTGTGCCTTGGTTGTTTTCTTATTGGGTATGTAAAGCTATTTGGTCTAGGTTTCATGTTCTCTCAGATTTTATTTTGGAGGGTAACCGATTGCTTCAGATCAGCTACTCAGGAGTTCCCACAGAGGCTCTAGTCAGGCTCTAGTAAGGTACATTCAGGCTTCCTTCTAAAATTTGGACCCCTACTCGTGGGTACTCAGAGCACAATTTGGGAAGTTTGCTAACGGGAGGCCAGATCAGGCACTCTCAGGCTTTCTACTGGGTTCTCAGCCCCATACCAGGCAGAAGCCAGATCAGGCCCTATACCAGGCAGGGGCCAGATCAGGCACTTTCACAAGGTCTGCTGAGTTCTCAGCACTTACTCTACGCAGAGCCCAGATCAGGCACTCTCAAGCAGTCTACTGAGCTCTCCCTCACTTTTTTTGAGACAGGGTCTCACTATGTGTCCCTGGCTGGCCTCTGCCTCTCAAGTCCTGAGATTAAGGGCATGTACCAATCATGCCCAGAAATTGATTTTTTCTTCTTTTCTTTTTTTGGAGACAGGTTCTCCAGTACCAGCTGGCATGGAGTTCACTATGTAGACCAGGCTGGACTCAAACTTAAAGAGATCCACCTGCTTCTGCCTCCTGAATGCTGGCATTAAAGGCATGAACCATAATGCCGGGCCAATTAATATTTTAATTAAAGTTTAACAATGAAAATAGTCACAGTAGGGCCAATAGAGAAGAGCCTATTTCTTGTTTTCAACAAATACGACAGCCAAGTATGGTGATACATGCCTTTAATCCCAGCACTTGGGAGGCAGGCATACCTCTTTGAGATTGAGGCCAGCCTGGTCTACATAGTGAGTTCCAGGTGAGTCAAGGCTACAAAGAGATCCTGACTCAAAAAAATAAAGAACCCCAAAAATCTTTGAGATTGAGGCCAGCCTGGTCTACACAGTGAGTTCCAGGTGAGTCAAGGCTACCAGGAGATCCTGACTCAAAAAAATAAAGAAAACCCAAAAAAAACAAATGAGTAATAGGTTCATCCATCAAAAAAGTTAATTTTTTCCCCATTGATGCTAACTAAATACTTCCTTTTCAACTGTTTCTTCTTCTAAAAAAATTAAAAAGTCATTTCAATTACAGAGAAAAGTAATTCTTAAAAAATAAACAAAGGTGAGGCTGGAAAGATGGCTCAGAGTTTAAGAGCACTGGCTGCTCTTATAGGAACCTGGGTTTGGTTCCTAGCACCCACATGGCATCTAACAACCATCAATAACTCCAGTTCCAGGGGATCTGAGGCCCTCTTTTGACCTTCGCAGGCACTGCACAACATGGGTGCACTTTCATACATGCAGGCAATACACTCATATACATAAAATAAAAATAATAAAATAATATTTTAAAAAAAGAAATAGAGGAGCAATATCTGAAAATGAAGCATTCCAGTTGAGGAAAAACATTTCAGTTTGAATAGCTTGAAACAAGCATTGGAAGCTAAATGTTCCAAACTCCTAGAATGACACACCTTACTGGATATAAAATATGACTTACTGTGGTTACTATTAAACTGAATAGAACTAGGGTAAACAGCAGATGGTAGTTTACTGAGTTCTTCATCTTGAAACATTCAAACCTTTAAAACAAGAGAAAGAAAATTTCTTTAGAAATGTAACTGGGAATGTAAATAGAATAAACTTTACTGCTTGCCTGCATGCTTCTGTGACCCAACAACACTCACCGTTTCTGCCCACTTCTCCCCTCTTACCTTAGAAACACTACACTGAAGATAGGCTACAAGAGGCTATGGGGATCAGGAACAGATACATGTCTTAAGCTGGGACAGTGAGGCTCTCTCTTCTCCAAGTGTGGAATTGGAGAGAGAACTAAATAAAGGAGTCAAAGTATGAAGTCAGTAGTCTGAGGGTGGTATCTGGGGACAGCCAAAGTGAATAAACAAGTAGATCAATGAGCAGAGAAGTAATCTGGAGGAAAATAAAAATAGATACAAATACTGGAACATGTGGGGAGAAAGGAATAGAGAGAAGAGGTAGAAAGACATGCATTTCCAGTTCTAGTGAGGCAAGGGTGTACTCCCTCCTATCTGGCTCCATACAATTTCCTCATATTCTTACAAAAAATCAGTCTTTTTCAGCTCTGGCTAGCTTAAATTTGTCTATCTTACAACTAATAATCTCTATCTGAACAAAACTATTTTAGAGATCACTCTACTCCTAGGTGTGGTAGCTCATGCTTGTATTCCAGCATTCAGGAGGCTGAGGCTGGAGCATGATCCACAAGCTCATGGCCGGCCTGGACTACATATTGAGTTCCAGGTGAGCCTGGGCTACAGAGTGAGATACTGTTTAAAAAGGCATTATATTGTAATTATCTATTTCCTTGTGTGTCTCCCCAACCAGACTGTGAATTCTTTGTGTACAAGGATATAATCTTACTACTATTTTTTTCCAGAAAGTTACTAGGTTAGTCTGTGATGTGCAGAAAGATAGTAAGTAAATAAATATAAGCAACTGGTGATAAGAAAGAACCCAACCTTTGAGGACTATATCTTGGAACCAATTGTTGAGGGTGATCTCTCAGTTTACTAATTGGTTATAAAGATTGAACTCAATTTCTAAGTTTCCTTTTACCTTTAAATTCTGTGAGTTTATGGCTTTGTAGATGATTCAAATAGGACCAGCAGTTAGGAATGCTCTCTCAGTTTACTAACTGGTTATAAAGGTTGAATTCAACTCTTACTTCCTTATCTGTAAAGAAAGGTGGTTGGAACAGGTGATTTCTAAGTTTCCTTTACCTTTAAGTTCTATGAGTTTATGACTTTGAAGATGATGCAAATAGGACCAACAGTTAGGATAGGAGTGCTCTCTCAGTTTACTAACTGGTTATAAAGGTTGAACTCAACTCTTATTTCCTTATCTGTAAAGAAAGATGGTTGGAACAGATGATTTCTAAGTTTCTTTTTACCTTTAAATTCTATGAGTTTATGACTTTGAAGATGATGCAAATAGGACCAACAGTTAGGATAGGAGTGCTCTCTCAGTTTACTAACTGGTTATAAAGGTTGAATTCAACTCTTCATTTCCTTTTCTGTAAAGAATAAGGTTGGAACAGGTGATTTCCTTTGCCTTTATGTTCTATGAGTTTATTACTTTGAAGATGAGGCAAATGAGCCAGGAGTTTTTATCTTACCTTTAAATTATATGACTTTATAACTTGATGGAAAAGTCAGTGTATTTATGAATTGTTTCCTTTTTCTTTTTATTTTTTTAGTGACAGGTGGCCTCTGGCCACCCCGCCTGCCCCTCCCTGGCCCACCAGGGACTACACCCAGCAGCCAGTGGAGCTCTGAGCCGCTGAAGTCAGCGGGCCTTTTTACTCTATTGATAGTTGAAAATTTTATTATTTTTTAAATATTTTATTATTTTTATTTTACTTGTATGAGTGTATTGCCTGCATGCATGTAAGTGCACCCATGTCATGCAGTGCCTGCAGAGGACAGAGAGAGCGTCGGATCCCCTAGAACTGGAGTAACCACTGAACCATCTCTCTAGACCCATCTGTTTATTATTTTTAAATGTTCTGAAAGCATGTTGTTTGTTAAGAACCCAAAGGTCTTTGGGAGGAACAGTTTGCGTTTGTTATCATAACATCTCTACTTTGTTATATATAGCTACTTTCTTAATCAGTCCCTGTCCTTATACAGTGAGTTCCTTGACTCCGCTTCTATAGAGTCTATTATCATGCCTAGCAAAATGCTTTTCCAGTACATGCTTCCCAAAGAACAAGCACACAAAGGCAAGGAGGTTTAGAATGATTAGAGGTCTAGACTGCTTTGCGTATTTGATACGTTCAAAGAATATCCTAAAACCAATAGAAAAATCAATTCCAGGGATATTTTAGTGTCTCTTGGAAATCGTTTACCTGCATAACGGCATGTCTAGCATGTATCATAATCAAGTTCTGTTCAAGTACTCAAACAAATTACTAAATTCCTCTGTATTTTACTTTATTATTTATATAATCATCTCATCACTCATCCTCATTAGCTGAGAATTAGAGACAGGTGTAGTATGTTGGCACAGTACAAAGGGAAAAATCAGTACTTATTAATGTTCCTATTTTAATCACTTTCATTTTCCAAAATTAAGCACCCCCACACCCCCAACACTCCAGAATTGAAATTAACTTGACACTGTAATAAACAAAACGAGACTTAGGAAGGAAACTTTGGATTATTGATAGTTTGTATGTGGTTTCATTAGTCTCTCAAGTTTATGAATAGCCAGTCAAAATGTGTATATTCTTAGCAATACTTACTATAATTTGGAATAAGGATAATGTAAAGAAAAGAACTATCTATTTAACAGAAAAACCTCAAAACAGGAGATATTAAAATGATATAATCACTATACAATTAAAAGTGCACTTTACTTTTCAGGTAAGCGTTTATTACAAAACTGTTCATGTGCTGATGAGATGGCTTGGTGGGTAAGAGCACTTATAGTGCAAACCTGAAGACCTAAGTTCAATCTTTGGCTACCAAGTTGAAAGGAAGAAGTCACTCCTGAAAGTTGTCCTCTGACCTTCACATGTCCGCCATGGTACATGGGTACCTACACTCACACATACACATCATTTACACAATGAAGATATACACACAAATAATAATATTTTTAAAACAAAGAAACCAGGGTTGAAGAGATGGTTTGGCACTTAAGAGCACTTACTGCTCTTGCAGAGAACCTGGGTTCAGTTCTCGGCACACATGGCAGCTCACAATCATCTTTAACTCTAGTTCCAGTGTATCCTACATCCTCTTCTGGCCTCTTTGGGCACCAGGCACACACTTGATACATTCGGGCAAACTACTCATACACATGAAAAAAAAAAAATATTTTTTTTAAAAAGCAACAACTAGCTAGGCATGGTAGCACATACCTTTAATCCCAGCACTTGGGAGGCAGAGGCAGGCAGATCTTATGAGATCAAGACTAGCCTGGTCTACATAGCAAGTTCTAGGCCAGCGGTGGCTATAGAGAGATCCTGTCTCCATTAATTAATCAGTTAATTAATTAATTAGTTAATTAATAAGCAGTAACTGGGCTGGAGAGATGGCTCAGCAGTTAAAAGCACTGGCTGCTCTAGCAGAAGACCCAGGTTCGAATCTCAGGACCCACATGGAGGCTAATAACAGTACATAACTCCAGTTCTAGGGGGAATCCAATGCCCTTTTCTGGCCTCTGTGGGCACTGCATGACAGAGATGCACTTACATACATAACAGGCATAGCACTCACACATATAAAAATAAATTAAAACAAAAATTTTTAAGCTATAAAAGAAGCCATTCATACTACAGTATAGAGAAACCAGTTTTATGTTGTAATACATAGAATTGTTATCTAAATTTGAAACGTTCTTCACTAAAGTCAAATTAAGATTCTATCTAAACAGACTTCAGAGTTTTAAGATCATATCCTTTAATATAAAACATCATTATAGATTCCTAGAAACCATTAGTGTTACATACTTTATTATCTTCCATATTATATATCCTAGTATTATAAATGGGTTAGTTATATATTAATTCAGTATGGATTTAAAAAAACCAAACAACTGCATTTTAAATGTAAATACTTACATGCAGTATACAAATATGCAGCAGCTGTAGATCATTGGGAGTTCATCCAAGAGCTATATGAAGCAAAAACAGGCAACAGACTGAGTATGGTGTAGTTATAATTACGTAGGTCAAAATAAAACCTCAGAATGAATAAGATTGTTTTCTTTTAGGCTAGGGTTGTACCACAGTGGTACAATACGGTACTTACCGCATACAAGGCCCTGACTTCAATTCTTAGCAGTTCAAAAAAAAGCTTCTTACTTCTTACTTTAATATACTAATTATTATATTTATCATCATCTAATTTACTCTAGACAGTTTGTTGTTTCCTAATGCACATAGCACATATCTAAGTAGCATACCTGACTCACTCTTCCCAGAGGGCAGTCTTGTAATCAGAGAGTCCAGGCCAGAGACATTGCTGCTTAAATCAAGATAGTAAAATGGAAATGTGCAGGTTTGAGAAATACTTAGAAGAAAATAGAGACTTCTTGTTGGTTCCATAGAAAAATGAGGGAAAAGAAACTATAAAGGATATCTCAAGTTTCTTGTCTAGAAGTTTGGTATGTAGTTGTACAATTTACTGAGACTTGTGAAAACAGAGAAAACGACAAGACCAATTAATTTGAGACTGAGGTACCTAAGACAGACAAGGAGAAATGTCAATCAGTTAGTGAGAAGTACAAATTTGTGGCTCAGGACAAAAGTCTGGGCTCTAGATGTTTGTAGCTTATTTAAAACGGCTAAATTTAAAAGAATATGAATATGCATTAAAAAATTCTTTGTGTGTGTGTGTGTGTGTGTGTGTGTGTGTGTGTGTGCCCACCTGCATGTAGAGGCCAAAGGTCAAACGGGCATTATTCCTCAGGTATCATCCACCTTGTTTATTGAGACAGGGCCTTTCACTGGCCTGGAGCTCACCAATTAGGCTAGCCTGGCTAGGCACTAAGCTCCAAGAATCTGCTTTAGGATTACAAATATATGCCACAACACTTGCCATTTTTATGTGTGCTGTTATGGGATCAAACTCAGGTCATCACTCTTGCGTGGCAAACACTTTACTGACTGAGCCATCTCTTCAGTCCCTATTCATTCTATTTATTTATTTTTATTCTCTCTCTCTCTCTCTCTCTCTCTCTCTCTCTCTCTCTCTTGTTATATAGCTATCTAGCTGCCTATCTGTCTGGGTGTGGGCATATGCATTCCCTAACACACACATGGAGTTCAGAGGAAAACCTGTACAAGTTAGTTGTCTCTTTCCACTATGTGGGTCCCAGGAATCAAACCCAGGACAGCAGGCTTCTCGGCAAGCATTTTTACCTGCTGCACCATCATATCTTTTATTACTATTATTTTTTTAGTTAGTTGTTAGCATTCAAAATAATACATTTTATTATGACAATTTCGTATGTGTGTATCATTGTGCTTTGCTCACATTTGCCCCTGTTGCCCTTTTGTCACCCCTCTCATTAGTGTCTTTTCTCCCTGCAAACAATCCCTTCTTTATGGACATCCATTTTAAAATTTGAGTAATACAAGGTGGGGTGAAGTAGTGCACACCTTTAATCCCAGCACTTGGGTGGCAGAGGCAGGTGAGCAAGGCCAGCCTGCTACATAGCAAGTTCCAGGTCAAGTGGGGCTACAACGGAGACCTTGTCTCAAAAAAAAAAAAAAAAAAAAAAAAATTGAGCAATACAAATGCAAGAGTCTTTTTTATTTTGTATTTTTGTGAGACAGAATCTCACTATGTAATCTTGGCTGGCCTAGAACTTGCTATGTAGACCAGGCTGACCTCCAATTCACAGAGCTCTGCCTGCTAATGCTGAGCCATTAAAGGAGTATACCACCATGCCCAGCTTAAAAGTCTTATTATGACTAATGACTGGAGTGTGATGGCATATGAAGATGAGTCTGGGGTACTTGTTAAGGTACTTGCCTAGCATGTGCAAGACCTGGGTTGATCCTTGTACCACAAACAACAAACAAAAACAAAGATGGTTCTGGCAAAGGCCAGATCACAAAGTTCAGTTCAAATTTATGAGCTTAGACTACAAACAGAATGAATGGGTTGGTGATGGAAAATCAAGAAGTTCAAAGGACTAGACCTCTTTGCATCAAGGATAGAAACTAAAGAAGGACCAGTCCACTCAAATGGATGCCAATGATATATAAAAGACTACTGGCACCTAAAAATATACTATGTTGGTGAGGTGCTTATAACTTCTGGAGATGTATCCATGTGACTGTACTCTTTAATGCTGTTCCAAAATTGTATATGCCTACACAGGCTGGTCAGAAGGTCACACTGCGTATTCGTTCTTTTTAATGGAAAATTTATATGCTTGCTTCTTTATATGGTCCGTTTGGCCAATCTCAGAAATTACAAGTCCCTCCTTTCACTATTCTTTAGTTATGTGTTCTCTTCTCAATTCCAAAGTGCTTCTAAATTGAGAGAAATATAAGCACTTAATTTTGCCACTCACCTGCATTTCATATTTCAGAGTCATGTGGAAGCACCAGGATCCCATTCCTACCACTGAAATTAAAACAGGCAAATAATAATTTAAAAAATACAATTAGCACAAAATTCTTTGGGGGCCAGAATAACTTTAGAAGACAATAAGACATTTCAAAGCAGGGAGTTTTAAGGAAAAAAATGTTTGTAAAATCTTGACAAGATATAGCTGATGCTGAATTAGTGGTATAACAAGTTTTGCTGTAACTGAAGAAAACAAGCACAGTGTAGGTTTTCTTAAATATCTACTAAGTGGTTTACTAGACTGACAACATTATTTCTATGAAATACTGGATGCTTAGGATGAGCTTTAATGATAGCTGCTCAGTTCCTATAGCTTTCTCGTGTACTTGTGATCCATAAAATTGAGCCATATCATTAATAAGAGCCAGTAGGCTACTTATTTCCAAGGCTGTCATTGACATGGCATTTTATTATCTGAATAGACTATAAAAAGAGAGCTACTGAAAACAATCATCCTCATGGAGATAACCAGGGTGTCACGGATACTAGGCAAACAATTCTACACTAAGCACAGTAAGGGCTGTACATTTTCAAAATGTTTTTCTCTTGTTACTGTTGAATTATATAGCATTAAGGGACTGGACAGATGGCTCAGTGGGTAAGAGCACTGGATGCTCTGACAGAGGACCTGGGTTCAATTCCCAGTACCCACATGGCAGCTAAGAACCATCTGTAACTTCAGTTGCAGAGGATCTGATGTCCTTTTCTGACATCCGGGAACTGCACAACATGGGTGCACTTACATACATGCAGGCAAAACACTAATACACAAAAATAATAAAAAACAACAGCAACAGAATTATATAGCATTAAAAGTCTTATTTTTAGAAAGCACCATAATTTATTCCAATGATCTGTGCAAAACATGAAACAGTATTTTGATGAAAAGTCTATTCTGGTGAAGGGCCAGCACTAGATTTGGTCCTGGTCCTCCCCCTCCCTCCCTCCTTCCCTCCCTCCCTCCCTTCTTTTGGGGGGGGTCTTATTGAAACAGGGTCTCCCTATAGCCTATATCCCCAGCTGGCCTAGAACTGACTATGTAGACCAGGCTGGCCTTGAACTCACAGAGATCCACCTGCCTCTGCATCCTGAATGCTAGGACTAGAGGTGTGCTCCACCATGCCTACTCTTTATTTTATTTCCTTTCCCTTTAAAATTCTTCTGTTGCACTAAGATTTGTGTTGCACTAAGATTCAGAATGCAAAGAGATATATTAAGTTAGCACTGTCTTTCTTTATATAGTATCTTGTTCTTTAAAGCAAATCACTAGATCAGTATATTGATGAGTTCATAGTAAAATGGGCTTTTAGGAAGTGTGGCCTGATAGGAGGAAGCAGGTCACTGGTGATATGCCTTTGAAGAATATATTTTGTCCCTGGACTTTTCTCACCCTCTGCTTCCCAGAGGCCATGAGGTGAGTGGCCTCTATACATGTACCCACCACCACGATATACCTCACATCAAGCCCAAAGCGATGGAGTCGGCTGACCTTGAACTAAAACCTATGAAACTATGAACCAAAATAAACTATTTAAAAATTTTTTACTTGGACATTTTGTCATAGCAATGGAAAGCTAACAAACATACCATAAAAAAATCATTTATTTCAAGGGCTGGAGAGATGGCTCAGTGGTTAAGAACACTTGCAGTTCTTCCAGAGGACCCAGGTTCAATTCCCAGCACCCACATGGAGGCCAACAACCATCAGTAACTCCAGTTCTAGGGGATCCGACATCCTCTTCTGGACTCTGAGGGCATCGCACAATACAGGTGCATGTACATACATGCAGGCAATGCACTCATACATAAAATAAAATTTTTTTAAAAAAACTTAAAAATCATTCATTTCATATGTACAACTGTTTTGGGATGCTCAATGTTGTATAAATATGACCTCATTCTAATTTTAAATTAGATTTTTTTTTTTTTTTGGTCTTTTTGAGACAGGGTCTCCCTGTAGCCCCAGCTGTCATGGAACTCACTATGTAGACCAGGCTGGCCTTCAACTCACAGAGATCCACCTGCCTCTGCCTCCCAAGTGGTGGGATTAAAGGTGTGCACCACCACGCATGGCTAAAAAATGCTAAAAAATGTATTTTTATTTTATGTGTGTATTGCCTGCATGTGTGCAAGTGCACCCGTGTCATGCAATGCCCATGGAGGTCAGAAGAGAGTGTTGGATCCCCTGGAACTGAAGTTATGGATGGTTGTTAGCCACCATGTGGGTGCTGGGAATCAAATTTGGGTCCTCTACAAGATCAGTCAGTGCTCTTAACCACTGAGCTATCTCTCCAGCCCCAGCTTTACCAATTTTTAAAAAACTAGCCCCTGGCAGTCTACTTTCTGTTTTTATAGATTTGCCTATTCTTCTTTTTCTTTTTGAGACAGGGTTTCAGTATGTAGCCCTGGATGACCAGAAAGATCTGCCTGTCTCTGCCTCCCAAGTGCTGGGATTAAAGACACACACCATCACAAACAGCAATAATTTGGTTATTTTTACAAAATAAAGTTGTTGACAAACTACAATCCAGGGCTGACAAATCAATACAAAGCAGGCAAAGTTCTAAAGGATAGTTTTTCAAAATTAAATAATAAAGACTGTGTGTGTGTGTGTGTGTGTGTGTGTGTGTGTGTGTGTATGTGTGTGTTCATGTAGTGTAGAGGTCAGAGATTGAAGTTGAGTATTTACTTTACCATCTACTTTATTTTTTGATTATGGGGGTCTCTCATTGAACCTGGAGCTCACTGACTGGCTACAATAGATGGTCAGTCCAGAAATCTATTCCACTCCTCCCAGGTAGATTCTGAACTCAGGTTCTCATACTTGCCATCTCTCAAGCCATCTCTCCAGCCCTGATAGCAAAGTTATTTTTAAGAAATCCTATATCTATTTATAAACTATATACAAACTATAGTGTATATATGTGTGTATGAGTATATGCATGTATTTTGGCTTTTTAATTTTTTAAATTATTAGTGTGGATATATGTGTGTACATGCACACATGTGGAAATCACAACTTTTGTGGAGTCAATTCTCTCCTTCCACTTTACTTGGGACAATTTTTGTGGTGTCAATTCTCTCCTTTCACTTTACTTGGGTTCAAGGTATTAAACTCAGGACACCAGTCACCAAATTTGCATGGCAAGTGCCTTTACACACTGAGCCATCTTGCTGGCCCTATTTTTGGTGTTTTGAGCTAGGATATTGCTATGTATCTCAGGCTGGCCTTGAACTTGAGATACTCCTGTATTAGTCTTCTCAGTACTAGGATTGCAGGTATGTGCCATTATGCTCAGTTTACAAGAGTAGTTATTTTAAATAAGGTAAAGTAACACACACATACACACACACACACACACACAAACAGAAGTTAAAACATTTTTTCTCTTGTAACTCAGTAATTTTCTTATTCTCGGGAATATCAATATCTTACTTAAAGTGATGAAGTATAAACTTCCTGTGAGGCATATATGGGGTTTCATAACCTGACACCACCCATATTTTCCACTACAACTGTCATTCAGTCTCACTTGACAACCCTGTCTCTCATCTCACACTAAACAGCAGTCTGCTTTGCCTTGGCTCATCCTGTACTCACCCTGTCCTTTCTGCTTGGAATACTTATACCCTTCATTGCCCAATCCTACCTGCCTCTAACCTACATCTATATGAAATCCTATACAACCTTTAGTGCTATTTTATTTTTTGGTCTTAATTCCTTTCAGTTTTTTCTTTTGAAATAATTTCAAACCTACAGAAATATTACAATTACTAGTATGACATCTAGTATATGCTCTACTCATATTCAATTATTAAGTTTATTAATTTCCATATATATTTATAATGCCATTGTTTCTGAGCAATTTATGAATATTGGATACATTCTTTTCTTTTTTAAACTTAAAAAATAGTTATTTTAATTTTATGTATTTTGTTTGCATGTATCTAAGTATACTTTTGCATACACTGTTCATAGAGGCCAGAAAAGGGCATCATCCCCTGAAACCAGAGTTACTATGGTTCTTGGCCACTGTGTGAGAACAGCGAATTGAACCCAGGTCTTCTGAAAGAGCAGTCACTGCTCTTAACCACTGAGTCATCCCTCCAGCCCCCATTAATTCTTTTCACATCTTAAAAGTTGAATGAAAGGGCTGAAAATATGGCACAGCAGTTAAGAGCACTGGCTGTTCTGCAGAGAACCTAGATTTGGTTCCTAGCACCCAAATGGTGACTCACAACAGCTTGTAACTCCAGCTCCAAGGTATATGATGCCCACTTTTGGCCTCCACAGGTGCCTTGCACACACATGGTACACACAGAGACAAGCAGAGACATACACAGATACGTACAGATAAAAAAATAATTTTTATAAAGTTTATTAAAGTTATTAGCTGGAAGTGGTGGTGTACACCTTTAATGCCAGCACTCAGGAGGCAGAAGCAGGTGGATCTCAGTGAGTTCCATTATAGTCATGAATACACAGTGAGACCCTATCTAAACAAACAAACAAACAAACAAACAAACAAACAAAGGAAGTTCAATATATCCCAGATCTACTTGTTTTATTTCTGAAGTCAAATCCTCCTGTGTTTGCTTTCCAGTTAGGTCTTCCATACACAAAATCTACCTAAGGTAGTAGTTATTAGCTTTTGATATACTGTTTTTATTTACAAATCTTAAAAAATGTTGGGCTAGTCCAAAAACAGCTGATTTAGTGGGTGCCCAGTACTTTCATTTTAGGTACACCTCTCAATTCTGAGTGCACATCAAAAGTCAAAGATCTTTCATGATCAATCCTAAGGGTCTCATAGGAGCACTGTTATATTTTGAATGTGGTATGTCCCCTAAAAGCTCATGTTTGAACATTTTGTTCTCTAGCTGCTGGTGCTGTTTTGGGAGATTATGAAACCTTTAGGATATGAGATTTGGAGGGCAGGCAACTGGGCAACTGGTCACTAGGTGGGCCTTTGAAGTTCATAACTGTCTCAAGTTCT